TTCCTCTGGTTAAGGTTAGGGAGACGGCAAGAGGAGCCCCATCTTGCTCCATGTGCCCCAAAATAATAAGACCTCCCCAAAAATAAGGCCAAGCACTTATTTCGGGGTTCAAAAAAATATAAGACAGGGTCTTATTTTTGGGAAAACATAGTATGTCCAGTATGAACTACAAAACCTAATAAACTAAATAAACCAATGTGATTAAAAATAATAATATGAAGAAAACCCAACAATCCTGGATAAAATGCCAGGCAGGCAAGAAATTAGCTGGGACCGAAAGGACATTGGAATAAAAATCGTTGACTTTAAATTGGATTTGGGGTTTTTTTTACCTAAGAGGCAGATCAGAGACAATAGGAGGATAATTTTAAATACTTTGGAATATTACGAAGCACATCCAGAAAAACAAATGGCATTGATATTTCTCGATGCACAGAAGGCGTTTGACACCGTGAATTGGCAATTAATGATAAACCAATTACAGACTATGGACTTTGGGGGGAGATTTATAAACATGATCAAAGCAATTTATAGTAAACAATCGGCAAAGGTGATGATAAATGGAGATATGACTGAGAAGGTTAATATCATGAAAGGAACAAGACAAGGATGTCCTTTATCCCCATTGTTATTTGTGTTGACATTAGAGGTATTAAATAGAAATATAAGACAAAATGAAGAGATAAAAGGGATGAAAATTAAAAAAAGAAGAATATAAATTGCAAGCATTTGCAGATGATTTAGTGTTTATTTTAGAGGAACCTCAAGAAGTAGGACCAAAATTAATAGAATTAATAAAAGAATATGGAGAGATGGCAGGGTTGAAAATCAATAAAGATGAAACAAAAATACTGGTGAAAAACATTACAGAGAAATAGAAAAGGGATTTAATTGAGAAATTAGATATTCAGATTACCAAGAAGGTAAGGTACCTAGGAATTCAACTAACAGCAAGATGTGTAACGATAAAGGAAGATAATTATTACAAATTGAAAAGACAAATTGAGACAGACTTGGAGAGATGGGAAAACTTACAATTATCATTAATGGGAAGAATTGCGACAATTAAGATGAATATATTACCTAGATTGTTGTTTTTATTTAAAAAAAAACCGAAAAAATTGGGGGGGGGGGGAAATACTTTGAAAATCTTAATAAAATGATAATAAAATTTATATGGCAAGGGAAAAAAGCGAGCATTTACATAAAAATGTTACAAGATGCAAGAACCAGAGGAGGGTTTGGATTACCAAACTGGGAATTATATTATCAGGCAGCAACATTATCATGGATGAAAGAATGGATTTTATTAACATAAGGCTATTGACTTTGGAGGGACATGATTTACAATTGGGTTCACATGCCTTTTTTGGTATGGGAAAAATAAGATACATAGTTTTTTTCAAAGACATTATGTAAGAAATGCTTTATTGTTAATATGGGAGAAAGTTAGAGAAAAACACTACTTAAAAATACCAATATGGATTTCAACAATGGAAGCGTTACTACATCCAAATGTTATCAATATGGGAAATATTATTAGATATAAAGATGTTTTATCAGAAAAGGGGGAATTGAAAACGAAACAAGAATTAGAAAAACAAGGGATTGATATGGTTTGGTATTCACAACTGCATATCCAAACGAGATATGAAAAAGATGCTAAGTTATATGGTTTTTACTTGGAAATGTCAGAATTGGATGAGATACTCACAGGAACAGATGAGATTAATGATTAAAAAATTGTGTAGCTGTCTACTTGGTATTAAATTAGAAGACGAACAAGTAAAAAAGAAACAATGATAGCGTGGGCGAAAAATTTTGGATATACAATAGAAACTATAAATTAACAATGGCTACAGCATACAAAGAGAATTTGTACAAAATGTTTTACAGATGGCACATGTCACCAGAAAAATTGTCAAAAATGTTTAAAGATAAATCAACTAAATGTTGGAAGTGCCACCAGACACCGGGATTGTACTATCATATGTGATGGACATGTCCAGAAGAGAGAAATTATTGGGCAAGAATTCGAACATGGTTAGAGAAAATGACACAGGAACATATTGATTTAACATTGAACAGCTGAAGCTGTTCCTGTTGGGTATCTTACCTGAGAAAATTAGTAAAGAAAATGTATATTTGATTATTCATGTAATAATTGTGTTTGCACAAAATTGGAAAGCAGAAAAAATCCCTACAAAGGCTGAGGTAATTAAGAAAATATTAGAATGTGCAGAAATGAATAGGTTGACATGGCAATTAAAGGAAAGGAAGAATTGGAATATTACAATACAATACAATACAATACAATACAATACAATACAATACAATACAATTTTATCAATGGATAGAGATTGAATATGGACAAGAAGCAGAATACAATATAAGAAATTTAGAAAGAATACGTTGTAATAAACCATATGAAAATGTCAAAGCAAAGATGGATATATATCGAGAAAATGGTGGTAAATGTTGAATATGATGACATGAAATTTTGCACTCAGATGACACACTGAATTATTTATTTACACCGCTTATTTAAAAATAAAAATAAAAAAGTTGTATTTGGGGTCGTGTACAAGAATGGAGGGGGACGTGGTGGCTCAGTGGCTATGACGCTGAGCTTGTCGATCGAAAGGTCAGCAGTTCAGCGGTTTGAATCCCTAGTGCCGCATAACCGGGTGAGCTCCCGTGACTTGTCCCAGCTTCTGCCAACCTTAGCAGTTAGAAAGCTCGTAAAAAAAAAAATGCAAGTAGAAAAATAGGCACCACCTTTGGTGGGAAGGTAACAGCGTTCCGTGTGCCTTCAGCATTGAGTCATGCCGGCCACATGACCACGGAGACATCTTAGGACAGCGCTGGCGCTTCAGCTTTGAAACGGAGATGAGCACTGCCCCCTAGAGTCGGGAACGACTAGCACCTATGTGCGAGGAGACCCTTTACCTTTAGCTTAGAAGAATGGACCTTTCTTTTTCTTGTGGGTTGTTGGGTTGAGGGTGAGCTTTTTCTCATGAGAAATTCACGTTCAGCCTCCAGGGTTTTCTGATGGACCAGAATAGACTTCCTCCATTAATGGTGACTTCTTGTCTCGTTTCAGACAATGGCCCAGCAGCTCTTGACGATTTTCAGCAGCTACTACGTCAGGCTGTTAGTCAGTGGTCAGCTTCCAGAAGTCCATGCGGGGCAGCACGAAACTATTGGCCAGAAGCCTTGTCTCTGCCAGTTTGTAAAGACGAGACTGCTGGGGAAAGAATTATCTGGATTCCGACAAAGGTGGACATTCTGTTAGCAACCAAGGCTCTCAATCATCATCAAAGACTGAAGAACCAGAAGTCGGAGGGAACGAAGAACGGTTTGCATTGTTCTTCATACAAAGGAACCATGCCTAAAAATATGTTTTTTTTTTGGAAATGTCTGTGCCTTGTTCTGAGGAGAGAGACTACATTATATTTGGATCAGGATCTGCCTCTGAGTGATAAAGAAGGTTTTTTTTGTCATGTGATATATTGTTTCGCTGGTCTCTGGATTGGATTTTCATGCATTGTTGGTTGCCCAGAGCCGTGACAAGGAGTTGGCAGCCGTATCAATGCTGGAAAGAAAAGGAAGGAAGGAAGGAAGGATGGAAAGAAGAAGAAAGAAAGGAAAGAAAAGAAAAGAAAAAGGAATGATGGGAAAGAAAGAAAGAGAAAAAAGAAAGAAAGAATAGAGAAAGAAAGATGGAAGGAAGGAAAAGAAAGGAGGAATGATGGGAAAGAAAGAAAGAAAAAAGAAAGAATAGAAAGGGAAAGGAGGAAGGAAATAAATAGGGAGAGAAGGAAGGAAAGAAAAAAGAAAGGAATGATGGGAAAGAAAGAAAAAGAAAAAAGAAAGAATAGAGAAAGAAAGAAGGAAGGAGGGAAAAGAAAGGAGGAATGATGGGAAAGAAAGAAAGAGAAAAAAGAATAGAAAGGGAAAGGAGGAAGGAAATAAATAAATAGGGAGAGAAGGAAGGAAGGAAAGAAAAGGAAAAGGAAAAAGAAAGAAGGAAAAGAAAGTAGGAATGAAGGGAAAAAAAGAATAGAAAGAATAGAAAGAAAAAGAATAGAAAAAGAAGGAAGGAAGGAAAAGAAAGGAATGAAGGGAAAGAAAGAATCGAAAGAGGAAGGAGGAAGGAGGAAGGGAAATAAATAGGGAGAGAAGGAAAGAAAGAAAAGGATAAAGTAGAAAAGAAAGAAAGGAAAAGAAAGGAATGAAGGGAAAGAAAGGAAGGAAGAAAGAAAGAAAGAAAGAAAGAAAGAAAGAAAGAAAGAAAGAAAGAAAGAAAGAAATCCCCCAGGAATTAAGAAACATGTTTTCTAGCTGGATTCTGGAAACTCAAACTTATGAACTGAACTTCAGAGCTGCTTCGGTGTCCCTTCCAGAGCTGGAACTTCTGAGCTCAACACCCCTGCCTTAAAGGACGCACGGAGTGATTCATGGTCAGTGAATCAGCTTCTAGGAAAGAGAGTCTTCCTTGACTGTATTCCCACTTGTCTCCCCTCAATGTGCAAAATCATCCTTTCTCACTGTGCCCCACCATGATGATATCATGCAAGCTCTGGGGATGTACTCCTTTCTATATAAGGCAATTTCTCAGTTTTTGCTCCCCCTTTTAACTACTTGTGATAGAAGGAATGGCAGAGCCAGGGTGGGAGGGGTAAAAATGTACGACAGAGGGAGTCCTTTGCTTACAACCGTTCATTTAATGGCCGTTCGAAATGACAACTGAAAAAAAAAGAACTTATGGCCATTTTTTCATCCTTATGACTGTTGCAGCATCTCCATGCTCATGAGATCAAAATCCAGATGCTTGGAGTTGGCTCGTATTTATGACACTTGCAATGCTTTGTATTACTTCCGAGCTGGCTTTCGACAAGCAAAGTCAACGAGGGAAGCTGGATTCATTTAATGACTACCCAACTGGAGTGATTGGCTTAACAACGGTGGCAACAAAGGTCATAAAATGGGACAAAGCTCACTTAACAGCTGTCTTGCTTAGCCACGGAAATGTTCAGCTCACTTGTGGCCATAAGTCAAGGACAAGGAAGGAAGGACCGCCTACTACCACCAATAACCTCCCACCGGCCGGTACGCTCCCATAGAGAGGGGCTCCTCCGGGTGCCGTCAGCCAAACAATGCCGACTGGCGGCCCCCAGGGGGAGAGCCTTCTCTGTGGGGGCACCTACTATCTGGAACGAGCTCCCCCCAGAGATACGGAGGATCCCGGATCTGCGCACCTTCCGCCGCGCCTTAAAGACCTTACTATTTCACCAGGCCGGCCTGGCCTAATTTTCCCCCTCTTTTATAAAAGATTTTTAAAATTTTAAACATCTTTTAGTATTTATATATTCAATTTTAAATTGGTTTTAAAAGTTTGGGGTTTTAAATTTGTCGGGGCCAAAATTATTTAATTTGATTTTATTCTATTTTTTAAATTTTGTATTGTATGTGTTTTTATTGTTTGGCTATGCACCGCCCTGAGTCCTTCGGGAGTAGGGCGGTATAGAAATCTAAGAAATGAAATGAAATGAAATGAAATGAAGGAAGAATGGAGAGAGAGGAAGGAAAGAAGGAAGAGAGGAAGGAAGAGAGAGAAAGAGAAAGAGAAAGAGGAAGGAAGGAAGAGAAAGAAAGAGAAATGAAAGAGAGAAAAACAAGGAAAGAGAGAGGAAGGAAGAGAAAGAAAGAAATGAAAGAGAAAAATAAGGAAGGAAGGAGAGAAGGAAGAGAAAGAAATGAAAGAGAAAAATAAGGAAGGAAGGAAGGAGAGAGATGAAGGAAGAGAAAGAAAGAAAGAGAAAAGAAAAAGAAGGAAGGAAGGAGAGAGGAAGGAAGAGAAAGAAAGAAATGAAAGAAAAATAAGGAAGGAAGGAAGGAAGGAGAGAGATGAAGGAAGAGAAAGAAAGAAAGGAAAAAGAAAAATAAGGAAAGAAGGGAGTGAATGGAGGAAGGAAGAGAAAGAAAAAAAGAAGGAAGGAAAGAAGGGAGAGAGTGGAAGGAAAGAAGAGAAAGAAAGAAAGAAAGAAGAAAGAGAAAGAGTCACTACAGGGCTCCTTAGTGAGTTTACTGCAAGAGACTGATACAGCTAACCATCAAAACTACCGTATTTTATCAATGCTTTGCCTTCCACACCCCACACCTCCTCTTTTACCTTCAACCATCTCTGGTTGAAAAAAAAAAATACAAACCGAGTCAAGCAACTGCATTTTTATTCCACAAATTATATTTCCTTTCGATATAATTTCAAGATTTGGTCATTGCAAAGGTTGGCTCTACCGGTACCCCAGACACAGGATAATCAAACACGTTCACCTCCGCTCCGTGGGGAGTTTATAAACGTGCTTTCATGAAGTTGTCTGCGATAGCCAAGTAAGAAGGATGGAAGCATTTTGCATCTTCTCAAATTGGTAGACGAGGACCGGGCGACGTCCCAGTGGATCTGCGAACGCTGCGAACGGTCCTTTATCTGCCTCAGGTCCCCCTAGGCTGGTCCGCAACGAAACTGCTGCATTTGGGGGACTCTGCCATCTTAGATTTTCGTCATCCGCCGGCAGGGTAAGCTGCACAGGTCAAGAAAGAAAATTAAAACTTTAGGAAGGACCACAGATCATTTTTTTTTTTTTTTAGGAATTGGAAAATCTAGAACCGAGGACAACATTTGCTGCCAGTGAGAACGGTTAACCATTGGAATGGCTTGCCTTCAAGAACTGTGGTTGTTCCATCACTGGAGATTTTTAAGAACAGGAACAGAGTTGGAAGGGACCTTGGAGCAGGGGTGGGTTCTAATTTTTTTTACTACCGGTTCTGTGGGCGTGGCTTATTTTGTGGGTGTGGCTTGACGGTCATGAGAGCCTTGGTAGTACAGGGGTTTAAGGCACCCTGTTATTAAGCTGGTTATTAAGACCAGCTGCCTGCAATTACTGCAGGGTTCGAATCTCGCTAGGCTCAAGGTTGACTCAGCCTTCCATCCTTTCTAAGGTAGGTAAATTGAGGACCCAGTTTGTGGGGGCAATAAGCTGACTTTGTATAAATATACAAGAGGATGAAGGCTATTGCTGAGCACATTGTAAGCCGCCCTGAGTCTTCGGAGAAGGGCGGCATATAAATCAAATAAAAAAAAAATGTGACAATTCTTTAGGATTTAACAGAGATACTGGTCTACCAGGCTTTTAACTGCTTGCAGAGCTGTACCAGTCTACCCATTTATTTTTGCAGGCACTGATCTACTCATGTATTTTTGCAGCACTGGTCTACCTATTTATTTTTGCAGTCTACTCATTTGTTTTTGGAGGCACTGGTCTACCCATTTATTTTTGCAGGCACTGATCTACTCATGTATTTTTGCAGCACTGGTCTACCTATTTATTTTTGCAGTCTACTCATTTGTTTTTGGAGGCACCGGTCTACCACCAAACTGCCTTTTACCACTGATCAGCTGTAGGGCGGCCCTTTGAAGCCCTGCGGCAAGAGTTTAAACAGTTTTTTTCCTTATAGCCCATCAGCTGGGACTCAGGAGGCAGCAATAGATTGGGGGTGGGGCCAAATAAAAGGTAAGAATAACGCGGGGAGTGGGGGTGGGGGGGCAGAACCAGTTCAGTGACGTCATATCGTCACTGATACCAGCTCGGCGGAACCGGGAGGAACCCACCACTGCCTTGGAGGTCATCTAGTCCAACCCACTGCTCACACAGGAAAGCTGTACTAGGGATTTGAACCGCCGAACTGCCGACCTTTCGGATCGACAAGTTCAGTGTCTTAGCCACTGAGCCACCTAAGAGATTGGACAACCATTTGACTGAAATGGTATAGGGCAGGGGTGTCAAACTCAAGGCCCGGGGGCAGGGGTGGGTTCTACTTACCTTTACTACCGGTTTGCAACGGGATCGCTTCTGCGCATGCGCAGATTGCCGATGACAACATCCGGGGCGGTGGGCGGGGTCTCCCCCCGGTTTTACTACCAGTTCTTGCAAACCAGTCCGAACTGGGGGCAACCCACCACTGCCCAGGGACTAGATCTGACCCCACGGGGTACTTAGATCTGGCTTGCGGGGCCACCCTGGAAACAGTGAAGACCCGGCCCGTGGTGCTTCTGCCAGAGAAAACGGAGCTCGGGAGGACCTCAGGCCGTTTTCCCTGGCAGAGGGTTGCAGGAGGCTGTGACAGCTGAAAACGGAACTTGGGAACCAGTTTTCGCTGGCAGAGCGCTCGAGCTGCCACAGGCGCCCCCGACATGAGTGACATCAAGCTGGCCACGCCCACCCTGGCCACACCCACCCCAGCCCCCCAAGGTCAAAACACAACCCCGATGCGGCCCTCAATGAAATTAGAGTTTGACACCCCTGGTATAGAGATTCCTGCTTGAACAGAGGGTTGGACTAGAAGACCTCCAGTGCCCCTTCCAATTCTGTTCTTCTGTCATTCTGCACTCTGTCATTCTGTATTTTGTTATTCTGTCATTCTGCACTTTGTTATTCCGTATTCTGTTATTCCGTATTCTGTTATTCCGTATTCTGTTATTTGTTAGTCTGTATTCTGTTATTCTGTAGTCTGTTATTCTGTATTTTGATATTCTGTATTTTGTTATTCTGTCATTCTGTCATTCTGCACTTTGTTATTCTGTATTTTGTTATTCTGTATTCTGTTATTCTGTATTTTGTTATTCTGTCATTCTGCACTTTGTTATTCTGTTTTGTTATTCTGTATTATATTATTATGTTGTTATACTGTTATTCTGTATTTTGTTATTCTGTCACTCTGCACTCTATTATTTTGTTATGATGTTATTCTGTATTGTCTTATTCTGTTTTTCTGTCATGCCATGATTCTGTTAGAGGTCGAGTAGCTGGAGGGAAATGTCATAAAAATAACAAAACATTTGTGCCGTTTTGGGGTCCGCGGAACTTCCACGTTCTTTTGTCTCTTAATCCCTTCTTCAATTTCCATTATTGTCCTCCCTCTATGCTGTGATACCTTCCTCCCCCTTCACTTTTTTCATTTGCGGTTTTCAACTATAAACCGGGGTCCCCTGTCTTAAGCAAGGGGTTGGACTAGAGGACCTCTAAAGTTCCTTCCAGCCCTAGGATTCTATATTTTATGTGTTGTTGTTTTTTTTCTCATTTGTCTTCCAAAAAGTGCCCATCACCCTTTGCTATTACCAGCAACGCGTGAAAATGCTTGGCACTTTGCGCCTCTCTGTTCGGTTTAATGAATTGTGTTTTGATGTTTCCTTGCTGCTTCTGCGAAATAATGGATTTGATGGGGATAATTTAAAAAAAAAAAAAAGCCATTATTGAGTTTGTCTCTTCTGTGAAGTGATCTGGAGCGGGTGTGGGGGGTTTTCTCTCTCCCCCCCCTTCTTCTTCTTCGTTGTTACATTTACTTGTTTGTTTTTTCATTTTTGAAAATGTGACTTCGGAGAGCAATAGGCACTAACTGGCTGGTTAAACTTCCTCTTTTCTTTTAGATTCTGAGACAATGTCTGCGTGAGAAGCAACAACTTTCCTCATTCTTTTTATTATGCTCTGCTAATATAGGCTTGGTTATATTTTTTTTCCCCTTTCTTGACCACCCAGGAAGAGTGGAGGGAGGGAGGGAGGAAGGGAAAGAAATAATGATAATAAATTTGGTAATAAATTATGACAATGTGCAACTGTTATTTGTCAAGAGAAGGAAGGAAGAAATGCATCTCCATAGAGACTTGCATCAGGTTTCATTACGGCATTTCCCAACAATGTTCTATGAATGATTCAGTTTCCTTCTCCTTCTCCTTCTCCTTCTCCTTCTCCTTCTCCTTCTCCTTCTCCTCCTCCTTCTCCTTCTCCTTCTCCTCCTCCTCCTCCTTCTCCTTCTCCTTCTCCTCCTCCTCTTCCTCTTCCTCCTCCTCCTCCTCCTTTCCTTTCCTTTCCTTTCCTCTCCTCTCCTCTCCTCTCCTCTCCTCTGCTTTCCTTTCCTTTCCTTTCCTTTCCTTTCCTTTCCTTTCCTTTTCCTTTCCTTTCCTTTCCTTTCCTTTCCTCTCCTTTCCTCTCCTCTCCTCTCCTCTCCTCTCCTTTCCTTTCCTTTCCTTTCCTAACTCAAAGCTGTCCACGAATGTTCTGTCTCGCAATGGGCAGTTCCTTCAACAACCTGCCTCCTTCTCAGCTTCTCTCATGTAATGGTTTTCTTTGTGTGCGGGTGCTTTTGAGTCATTTTTCATGACTAGCAACTGCCTGGACTTGTCCCTGCAGTTGTCTTGGCAAGATTTCAGAAGTGTTATCTCCTTGATGCTTCAGGGAGTCTATAGTGTTTAATGGTGAAGGAAAAGAAAGAAAGAAGGGAAGGAAGGAAGGAAGGAAGGAAGGAAGGAAGGAAGGAAGGAAGGAGATGGAATGAGAGAGGGAGGGAGGGAGGGAAGGAGGGAGGGAAAGAAGGAGATGGGATGAGAAAGGGAGGGAAGCATGTAGGGAAGGAAGGAGGGAGGGAGGGATGGAGGGAAGGAAGGAGATGGGATGAGAAATGGAGGGAGGGAAGGAAGGAGGGAGGGATGGAGGGAAGGAAGGCAGAAGATGGGATGAGAAAGGGAGGGAAGAAAGGAAGGAGGGAGGGATGGAGGGAAGGAAGGAAGGAAGGAGGTGGGATGAGAAATGGAGGGAGGGAAGGAAGGAAGGAGATGGAATGAGAAAGGGAGGGAGGGATGGAGGGAAGGAAGGAAGGGAGTGAGTGAGCGAGGGAGTGATGGAGGAAGGAAAGTATGTTTTTGATAAAATTGGAGGACTCATTTGGCCCAGCCTTGACTGTCTTATCATTTTATTCCCATCCCCAGCAGAGATTTCCCACTTTCTCTTACCTTTCTCTTGACCGAAAGATTCTAATTTCTCATTATCATCGTTACAGCAGAAGCAACAGCAGGATCTGATTTTTACTGCCACATACCTGAAGGCTGGAAGCCACAGAGAGAGAGAGAGAGAGAGAGAGAGAGAGAGAGAAAGAGAAAAATAAGGAAGAATATGTAGCAACCCCCAGATTCATCTCACCCTGAACAAACCCAGATGTAAAGGTTTTGTCGCTCACAATATGTCAGGTCTACCACTTCTAGAACTTTCTACTAGTGGTAGAATGATGAAATCTGTAAATTCCATAACTACATTGATATGGATGGGTGGGAGGAGGAGCAGAGAGCTAACTAATGGGTCATTTCCCCACATTGAAAAAAAAAATAGAAATATTTTCTGATCAAATTCAGATAGTCCTCGGCTTAGGACCACAACGGAGTCCCACATTTCCTTTGCCGAGCGAGACCTTTGTGAAACGAATTTCGCCTCATTTTACGACCTTTCTTGCCACGGGTTCTTAAGCGAATCACTGCAGCGGCGAAGTTAGTAACACGGATGTTAAGTGAATCTGGCTCCCCCGTTGACTTTGCTCGTCAGGAGGTCGCAAAACGGGACTCCGTGACCGGGACACTGCAACCGTCATAAATATGAGTCAGTGGCCAAGCATTTGAATTTTGATCACGTGACCCTGAGGAGGCTGCGACGGTCGTAAATGTGAAAAACGGTCATAAGCCGCTTTTTTCAAGTGCTGTTGTAACTTTGAACGGTCACAAAATGAATGAGGACTTCCTGTACTTTGATCTAATCTGAGAACTCTTTTATTTGCTGAACTCGCGGAGAAAGCAAACTCCAGTGAACAATCTTGCAAATCAACCTTTGAACCGTTCTTTATATCTTGGATTTGGCCATGGCATTTAGAGTTGGTGACAATTAATCTTGAAGATTTCCTGGTCGTTGGCTACCTGAGAAAGGGTTGGTTTGAAGATTTAAAATCAGCTTTGAGTTTGGATCCCGAGGAATTCTTGGTGCTCTTTGAGCTTGGTTGTTTTCCTGCAGACGTCTATGGAGATTCTAACCCTAACCCTCCTTCCCTCCCTCCTTCCTTCCTTCCCTCCATCCCTCCATCCCACCCTCATTCCCTTTCTCCTCCCATCTCCTTCCTTCCTTCCCTCCCTCCTTCCCTCCCTCCATCCCTCCCTTCCTCCCTTTCTTATTCCATCTCCTTCCTTCCTCCCTTCTTTCCCTACCTTCTTCCCTCCTTCCTTCCTTCCCTCCATCCCACCCTCCCTTTCTCATCCCATCTCCTTCCTTCCTTCCCTCCCTCCCTCCTTCCTTCCCTCCTTCCTTCCCTCCATCCCTCCCTTTCTCCCTTTCTCATTCCATCTCCTTCCTTCCTCCCTTCTTTCCCTCCCTCCCTCCCTCCCTCCTTCCTTCCTTCCTTCCTTCCCTCCCACCCTCTTTCCTTCCTTCCTTCCCTCCATCCCACCCTCCCTTTCTCACCCCATCTAATTCCTTCCTTCCCTCCCTCCCTCCCTTCTCAGTCATGCTTTTTTTTCAAGAGGCAACTGTATTTTTCTGGATGAAACTGGATTAATAAAAATAAAACTGGATTTTTATTCCTTGCAGACTTTTCAGAGAGTCGTTGAGGCCACTTGGAGGTTTCACCTGAGGTGACCCTGAGGACACAGAGAAACCTCCAAGTGGCCTCAACGACTCTCTCACAGGAGGCAAATGGCCAGCTGTCTGCAAGGAATATAAATCCTTCCATTCCCCACCACCATCCCGTCAGAGCTGAAGAAGCTTCTTGGATGAGAAGTGAAACGTCTTCAAAGAAAAACCAGAAAGGCTATTTGGCTCTTGAAAAAACACCTTTGCAGGTTTTCCTGCAGACGTTTCATTACCAAAATCGGTAACGGATGAGATTACCTACCAACCCAGCTCTGAGAACACCAAAGATCCCTCACTTCAACCCGGACAAATATTCCCCTCTATAATTTCTGTTTATATTATAACTCTGCTTGGAATCACTGCCCATCCGTGCCCTAACGGAAACCGATCCCTCAACTCCCTGGTAGCAGGGCAGCCCGTGAAGCGTGGCAAAAATAACTCCAGATCAAGGCAAATTGGCGGTGTAAATACTTCTGTGTGTATGTGTGTGAGAGAGAGGGATGGAGGGACAAAATAATCCTAGGCTTGGAACAACCCGTCAACTCCCACCTGCTGCTCTGTAGAGGAAACTGAATTAAAGTTTCCTCAAATTAAATGGAGGACCCAGTTTGTGGGGGCAATAAGCTGACTTTGTATAAATATACAAAAGGATGAAAGCTATTGCTTAACGCATTGTAAGCCGCCCTGACTCTCCGGAGAAGGGCGGCATATAAATCAATTTTTTTAAAAAAAAGTATTATTTTTTTTTTATCCAATCCTGGTTAGCAAAAAGGATTTAATAATCCCCAGTCTTAGTTTAGCCTTAGGGATGTGGTGACTCAGTGGCTAAGATGCTGAGCTTGTCGATCGAAAGGTCGGCAGCTCAACGGTTCGAGTCCCTAGTATTGTGTAACAGGGTGAGCTCCCATTACTAGTCCCAGCTTCTGCCAACCTAGCAGTTCGAAAGCACGTCAAAAATGGAAGTAGGAAAATAGGGACCACCTTTGGTGGGAAGGGAACAGCGTTCCGTGCGCCTTTGGCATTGAGTCATGCCGACCACATGACCACAGAGACGTCTTCGGACAGCGCTGGCTCTTCGGCTTTGAAACGGAGATGAGCATCGCCCCCTAGAGTCAGGAACGACTAGCACCTATGTGCGAGGGGAACCTTTACCTTTTACCTTAGTTTTAGGAAAACTTAAAACTAAATCTTTTCTCCTTAGAACTGAAACTTAGCTATAGGAAGATCTTGACTTACCACTGGCGATAACTCAGGCCATGTTTCTTTAGGGTGGAAGATGGGTTTCCCCAACTCTTCCCAATTCTTTCTCCTTCTCCGACTGTGTCCCCTTCTCCTCTCCTCTCCTCTTCGTGGTCTCCTCTACCTTTACCCGCCGAGGATCGACTTCATCTGATTTCCTCTTGCAAATAATCATAAAAAAAAAAAAAAAAAAAGAGCTGTGCAAACTTCCCTCTGGGGTATTGCCCAGAAACTGAGTCACGTGGATGTCACAGTGGCAACCAGGCAGGATGTTTTATGACTCAGAGCAGGCAGTTTGTGGTGTTGACTTGAGAGTAAGGCGAGGAGAGGAAAGGTGGATCAGGTTTCTCTGAGCATCAAGTACGCAGGGAAGCTCAGTGTCCCGAAAGCCGTTAAAAAACAGATGCTTGTTTTGTTCTCAAGGGGCTCAATGTTCCTGCTGCCGTCTTCAACAACAAACACACCAACATTTCAATCTTTGTTTGTTGGCTCGGCAGCTGGAGGTTCCCTTCCTATCCAGGGGTGGGCTTCAAAAATTTTTAGGAAGGGATTCTCTGCACGGTTGCTGGGTGGGTGTGACAATGGTAGGCGTGACCTAGTCAGCCTCCTGCACCAAGGCAGTGACAGGGGCATTTTTGCGGTCGCCAACTGGTGGTCTGTGGACCACTGGTGGTCCGTGAGAAAATTTCTGTGGTGGTCCACAGAAAAATTATTTGCATTTTTAAAGCGCTCCATGGCTTAGGACCTGGGTACTTGCGGGACCGCCTACTACCACCAATAGCCTCCCACCAGCCGGTACGCTCCCATAGAGAGGGGCTCCTCCGGGTGCCGTCGGCCAAACAATGCCGACTGGCGGCCCCCAGGGGGAGAGCCTTCTCTGTGGGGGCACCTACTATCTGGAACAAGCTTCCCCCCGAGATACGGAGGATCCCGGATCTGCGCACCTTCTGCCTCGCTTTAAAGACTTTATTATTTCACCAGGCGGGCCTGGCCTAATTTTCCCCCTCTTTTATAAAAGATTTTTAAAATTTTAAATATCTTTTAGTATTTTATATATTCAATTTTAAATTGGTTTTAAAAATTTGGGGTTTTAAATTTGTCGGGGCCAAAATTATTTAATCTGATTTTATTCTATTTTTAAAATTTTTATGTATGTGTTTTTATTGTTTGGCTGTGCACTGCCCTGAGTCTTTCGGGAGTAGGGCAGTATAGAAATCTAATAAAATGAAAATGAAAAAAATGAAAAAAATTTTTTTATATTGCACTAAATCAGGGGTCCTCAAACTACGGGCCCTGGGCTGGATACGTGCAATGAATGTTTGTGTTATTGCAGAGTCTCCCTCTTCGGGGTCTTTTTGTGTGGGTCGGAGAGGGCCAGAAATTCTGAGTTGGGGTCTGCTTCAGCCTCCTGGTGTGGGGCTTTGGCCGAAGGCTGGAGGGAAGTGCTGCTGGTAGCAAAGAGCCGGAGGGCCTCGTTCCAGTGGGACTGCATCATGGCTTGGAACTGGCTGACCATCTCAGTGTGCTGAGCCTCCAGGCGCCGGTACCTGGCCTTGCACTCCCGCAGGTCTTCCCTCTGCTTGGAAAGCTTATGCTCCTAGTCCTCAGTGAGGTGCTTCTGCTGAGCCTCTTTCTTGGTCAGATCCAATTTGAACTGAGCTGTTTTGTCAACTCTTTCTTGTGGTGGCTGCTTAGCTCCAACAATTTCTGGACTGGGACTCCCTACGCACGGTCACTCAAGCACTCGTCACCTCTCATCTGGACTATTGTAATGCTCTCTACATGGGGCTCCCCTTGGGGTACACCCGGAGGCTCCAACTGGTGCAGAATGCGGCCGCGCGGGGGATTATGGGAGCGACGGGGCGCTCCCATGTGACTCCTCTCCTGCACGAGCTGCATTGGCTTCCGGTGGACTTCCGGGTGCGCTTCAAGGTGTTGGTGATCACCTTTAAAGCGCTCCATGGCTTAGGGCCAGGGTACTTATGGGACCGCCTTCTGCCACCAATAGCCTCCCACCGGCTGGTTCGCTCCCACAGAGAGGGCCTCCTCAGGGTGCCATCGGCCAGACAATGTCGGCTGGCGACCCCCAGGAGGAGAGCCTTCTCTGTGGTGGCACCTACCCTATGAAACAATCTACCCCCAGAGATACAAGTGATCTCCGACCTCCGGACTTTTCGTCGGGCCCTAAAAACTTATTTTTTTCAGTTAGCCGGTCTGTCTTGATTTTAGGGTTAGTTTTAAAATTTTAATACTGATTTTAAATTGACAAGTTTTAAATTACGGGCCAAATTTATAAATTATTTTAATTCTATTTTTAACTGTAATGTTCATGTATAGATGTTTTTATTTTTGGCTGTTCACCGCCCTGAGTCCGAAAGGAGAAGGGCGGTATAGAAATTTGAATAATAAATAAACAATTGCTTCCTCTTGGGGTCCTAAGGAGCCCGGGTGGGGAGGTGAGGTGTGTCTGGGAGGGGAAGGGCGAGTAGAGGCCGTTGAGGTGCCCCTCGATGTGAGTGACATCGAGTTGACCACACCCACCCAGTCACACGACCACCTAGCCATGCCCACCCAGCCTGTCATTAGGCAGATCATATTAGCAGTCCGTGGGATTTAAAATCATGAATTTAGTGGTCCCTGAGGTCCGAAAGGTTGGTGACCCCTGCTCCAAAGCACCTGAAGGCAGCACTTGTCTTGCCGTCTAGCGCTTTGGAAAATAGCTTCTGGTTTCCAAAGAGATGAAATGGAACATCAGGAGAGTTGTTGGGAAGCACCCTTCCTGGCAGGGAGGAGGAATCAAGCACAGAGCTAGCCTGGAGTTATTTTATTATTATTTTATTTATGTAATTTATATGCCGCCCTTCTCCCGAAGGACTCAGGGCGGCTTACAAGAAGGAACAAAAAAAAATTACAGAAGCAACAAAGTCAATTTAAAATTAGTTAAAATTAATTAACAATTTAATTAAAACTATTAAAAATCACCCCTACGGATTCAGCCCATTTGGTGAAAAAGTCTTCAATTCGCGGCGGAAGGAGAGGAGGTCAGGGGCTGTCCTGAGGCCGGTGGGCAATCCGTTTCAGAGGGTCGGCACTCCCACAGAGAACACTCTCCCCCTGGGAGCCGCCAGCCGACATTGTCTGGCTGATGGCACCCTGAGGAGGCCTGCTCTGTGTGAGCACACCGGACGATGGCAGGAGATGATCCTGTAGATACCCCGGGCCTAAGCCATGTAGGGCTTTATAGGTGAGCACCAGCACCTTGAAACGAACCCGAAGAATTACCGGTAGCCAGTGCAGCTCGCGCAGGAGAGGTGTCACACGGGAGTACCGAGAAGCCCCCCGTAACAACCCGCGCGGCCGCATTCTGGACTAACTGTAGCCTTCGGGTGCATCCCGAGTTGCTGTACAACTGCACAACTGCAAAAGTTCTGGGGGCCGGCCACCGTGTCTGAATTCCCCAGAGCCTTATCGAATTGTTCCCAAGGATAAGTTGCCAGACTGGGGAGATTCCTGTATTATAGGCAGAACACAATAAAGTAGTTAGCTCAAAGTCTGCACTTTGGGTTGTTTGCGCCTGACAATAATCCTTTTTTATTTTATTTTATTTTATTCTATTTTATTTTTCTTTTCCCAGTCTGAAGGTGCTAGGGAGTGTTTCAGGAACAGCAGAGGGCCGGACGGCATTTTGTCCGGACACAGCATTTGCAAACAAATCCAGTGGGTTGGGTGTGTTCCCACAAAAGAATGAGCAATGTCTGTATGCAAACCACACACAATAAATTTACGATACCGCTAAGTTCCCACTTTCTACTAACTATGACTTGCTCCTTTTCCACCCTTGCAAAGTCTATTTGCTTTGTTCCTGGGCTTTCCTTTGGGCTGGCGAATCGTAGAAACTCTCTCCCCCTCTCTTTCTTTCTCTCTATCTCGCTCTTTCTTTCTTTCTCTCTCTCTCTCCCTTACTCTTTCTTTCTCTCTTTCTTTCTTTCTTTCTTTCTTCCTTTCTCTCTCCCTCTCTTTCTCTCTCCCTCTTTCTCTCTCCCCTTCTTCCCTCTCTCTCTTTCTCTCTGTCTCTTTCTCTCCCTCTCTCCCTCCCTCCCCCTTCCTTCCTTCCTTCCTTTCTTTCTCTCTCTTTCCCTCCCTCCCTTTCTCTCCCTCTTTCTCTCTCTCTTTCTCCCTCGTTCCCTCCCTTTCCTTCCTCCCTTTCCTTCCTTCCTTCCTTCCTTCCTTCCTTCCTTCCTTCCTTCCTTCCTTCCTTCCTTCCTTTCTTTCTTTCTTTCTTTCTCTCTCTCTCTTCCTCCCTTTCTCTCTCTTTCTCTTCCTCTCTCTCCCTCCCTCTCTTTCTCTCTTTCTCTCTCTCTCCCCTTTGTCAATTTTTTTGTCAAAATTAGAAAATAAACAAAGTATAAACGATCGCTCTCTCATCCCAGATCTCATCTGCCGCCGATTTGCTGTTGTGAATTTGCTTCTGCAGAGCGCTGTCTCCAGAGAAGTTTTGTTTATGGCAGGCAGCGTTTGCCGCACTCATGGGGGAAACTTGGCATCACAGAGCTGCTGCGCAGATTTGCACAAACGTGCCTTGAGATTGTTATCCACGGCCTGTCCCTACCTGGGAAACACATCAAGGAGGGCATGTTTGAACAGTCAAGAATATAACGGAGAAAAACAGGGACAGAAACAGGCCCTAGGAGTTATCGAAAATCGCCTTTCGTAAAACTCATCACGACCTTGTTTTGCTAAGGCCTGCGTATTTCTTCGTTCAGAGTTCTATAGCAATCATGGATCTCTGTTTTTAAATGCAAGGAGATTCTTCCCCAAAGGGAGACTTTAATTTCAGACACCAATGTTTTACGTTTTGACATTTTAAAAATCTTGAATAGTCTTGTAATATGTTATTCACCAGACTAGTGAGGGGTCCTGCGTGCTTTTTGATCTTGGTTGGTTTTTTTTTTTTCCAGACGTTTCATAACCAAATGAGGAGACATCATCAGTGCTAGAAGGGAGAGGGATTTGTGGAGAGGAGGAGGAGGAGGAGGAAGAGGAGGAGGAGGACTGTGTGGTCCTTAATACTCTCTGAGCTTGGTTGTTTTCTTGCAGACGTTTCATGACCCAACTAGGGAACATTATCAGTGCTAGAAGGGTGGGGTTTAGAGATAGAGAGAGAGAGAGAAAGAGAGAGAGAGAGAGGGAGGGAGGGAGGGAGAGAGGAGGAGGAGGAGGAGGAGGACTGTGGGGTCCTTAGTACTCTCTGAGCTTGGTTGTTTTCTTGCAGACATTTCATGACCCAACTAGGGAACATCATCAGTGCTAAAAAGGAGTGGGGTTTGTGGAAAGGAGGAGGAGTGGGGAGGAAGAGAGGAGGAGGAATGAGGAGGAGAACTATGGCATCCTTGTTGCTCTCTGGGCTTGGTTGTTTTATTTTGTTTTTTTGCAGACATTTGCAGACATTTCATGATTAGATAACATTATCAGTGCTAGACTAAACATTACCTACTTTGGTAATGAAATGCCTGCAAGAAATCAACAAATTAAGATGCAATAATAGTTCTTTAACAGCAGAGGTAACTCGCAGAGTACCAAGGACCTCACAATTTGACCCCAAGCTACAAATATTTTCGTCCATAGGTCATCAAGTCTCTAGGTCTTCAATTAAAGAGCTATTATCGGGTCTTAATTTAGAACAAATTCAGATCCTGTCCTCTCATCCTCTTCCTGTAAAACAGCGATTTGAATATACAAGTGGAAATGGTTCTGAATGGCAAAATAGAAGCCAGGGTTAGATTTCCACCAAATATTCTGGATCGTGGAAATGCACGATCCCATGCATTTTTTTGTCTTGACACACAACGAAGTCACACCACAAAGATTCCTTACCGGATGTTAAAAATAAAAATGTCTAAGCCTCTTGGCTGACACTAGATGGGGATGTTACTCAGAAACATTTTATCCTTCCTGTTCCTGCCTATATGAGATTTGAGCTTTTTAATGTAACTCAGACTTTATATAGGCAGGCAAGGCCACATTTGGTAAACCAGACAACAACGAGTGAGGCCACTCACTCATGCTGCATTCAGTTTTGGTCGCCACGATGTAAAAAAGATGCTGAGACTCTAGAAAGAGTGCAGAGAAGAGCAAGAGAGATGATTAGGGGACTGGAGACTAAAACATATGAAGAATGGTTGCAGGAACTGGGCATGGCTAGTCTGATGAAAAGAAGGACTAGGGGAGGCATGATAGCAGTCTTCCAATATCTCAAGGGTTGCCCCAAAGAAGAGGGAGTCAAGCTGTTCTCCAAAGCACCTGAAGGCAGGATAAGAAGCAACGGGTGGAAACTAATCGAGGAGAGAAGCAACCTAGAATTAAGGAGAAATTTCCTGACAGTTAGAAGAATTAATCAGTGGAACAACTTGCCTCCAGAAGTTGTGAATGCTCCAACACTGGGAGCTTTCAAGAAGATATTGGACAGCCTTTTGTCTGAAATGGTGTAGGGCAGTGGTGGAATTCAATTTTTTTTTTACTACCGGTTCTGTGATCCTGGCTTTGTGGGTGTGGTGTGGTTTGGTGGGCGTTTCAATAAGCTGAATCTGTAAACCACAAAAGCACTTGAAGTGGTATATAAGTCTAAGTGCAATTGCTATTCCTTCCTTCCTTCCTTCCTTCCTTCCTTCCTTCCTTCCTTCCTTCCTTCCTTCCTTCCTTCCTGTGCAATGGTTAGAATGCAGTATTGCAGGCCAGCTCTGCCAAGTTCAAAACTCACCAGGCTCAAGGTTGACTCATCCTTCCATCCTTTCCGAGGCCCGTAAAATTAGGAGCCAGATTGTTGGGGGCAAGAGGCTGACTCTGTAAACTGCTTAGAGAGGGCTGTGAAACACTGTACAGTGCGATTTCAATTCTGCATTTTTTCCCAGGCTGATGTTGGCATCTCAAGAAACTTAGTAATCAGTTAATAAAACTTTGTATGAATTTCACACCCTTCCACACATCAACGCTGGCGATAGAGGCTCATAGCAAACCCTGCCTCTCTTCCTCCCAACCTCTTTTACTATCCCATAATAACCATTTCTGCAGAAATAGAATTGCCAGTACATTCCTAACGCTTAGGCAAGTCTGACGAGGCAGCCTTGACTACTATCAGGTTATTGATTTAAAAGTTTTGATAATTGATTCTAAAGGCCGTTGCCCCATTTCATAGAGTGTTCCATATATCCTTGGTAAACATTTACTAACAGTGTTCTTTGCTCAGCATAGTATAATCATCCCGTAGCTTTTTTTTTTTTTTTGCAAAAAGTTTTTTTATTTTTTTTCCAAACATACAAATTACATCCTTTCGGAACAGAGCTTTGATCCGGTCATCACTTTGTTCAATTTTTAACAAAATCTTTAATAAAATTTTATCTATTCTATTTTGCCATAGCATTTATTTCTTAATCTTAAATCACATATTCAACTAATACTATCTTTAAAAAATTAACGCATATTTACTTAATCAAAACAATTACCCTTCAAGTATTAACCCATCTTAATTCTTAATTCAATTAATAACTCATAATACAACAATTCTTACCCTAAATCCTCACTATTGACAATACAGTTCAAACATATGATATATTTCATTATGCTCATTAAATCTTTATTCCATTATTACTTTATCGAATTTAAATCTTATCTTTAATTTTAAAAACATAGCAATTTAACATTTAAACATAGTTCTTAGTTCAAATAATGCTCTTTAATGCAATTTCCCAATTATCCTAAATTCTATCTATCAAACCATACCATTTATATAACACCAATTAAGTAATTTTTATTGATAGATCATAATCATATATTGTTTCAGTTTTCTTTTCTTTTTTGACTTAGGTAATAAATGTTCAAAATATCACATATTTAAACGAATCATCCCGTAGCTTTTGATAACTCTACTCAGATAGGAAATTACTTGGCCAGCTGGGCATACTGTAATTTCTGCAGAAATTTAGTCAAAAGAAAAATTAAAGAAATCGATGTCCCGGTCAAGGGGACATACGAGTTCCAGGAATGAAATACATCTTGAAGATCACCTTACAGTCCAGTCAGGATAAGATAAGAACCCAATTTTATTACAGAATGGCAAAAATCAGAACGGACTTCGAAGCACCCCAAAAAACCATGATCTCCAAGCTTAAGACTGAACCTTAAAATGGGAACTACGTCTCAGCACAAGCACAGGAAGTCCTAGCCCAACTTATCAATCGATCGATCGATTGATCGATCGATCAATAAACAAATCCAAGGTTGAACCTAGTTAATAATTGCTAGGAAAAAATCCAGGATGGCTAACATTTTGAAAACCGTGTGCATCTATTCTCTCCCCCCGGAGATACGGAGGATCCCGGATCTGCGCACCTTCCGTCGCGCTCTTAAGACCTTTTTATTCCATCAGGCTGGCCTGGCCTAATCTTTTCCCTTTTTCCCTTTTTTAAAATGTAAATTTTAATCTGTTTTAAATTATTGGGGTGTTTTAAATCTGTCTTGGGCCAAAATTGTTTAATTTTGCTTTTAAATTTTGTATCTATGTGTTTTATCTGTGGCTGTTCACCGCCCTGAGTCCTTCGGGAGTAGGGCGGTATATAAATCAAATAAAATCTAAATCTAAAATCTAAAAATCTCTCCTTAAAACATTTTTTTATTTTTTAACACAAACATAGAACACAAATACATATAAACACGTATACATTGATACAATACAAAGAAAAGAAGTCTATCGGCTAACTCCTAAGAAACTATCGCATCGGTGGTTGCTTTCTAATTCACCTGTTA